TTTTTTATTACATTGTACATAGCTTGACTAATAGCCTCCCTGGCTCCTCTTTGTCATAAAAATTATTATTATTATTATTATTATTATTATTATTATTATGCTAATTCGACCGGGCCCGCTTGCTCTGTGCATCTTGAAGGAACAAGAAGTCACAACGAAGGGCGTGTATCGACTCCCGCATGCTATCTACTACTGTAGCTAGCCCGTGTTAGACTCTCCGCGAGCTATACTAGGGGGAGACGACGACCACCACGAAATAGCCCAGCACATCAATTAGCAGTACCGCGCATGCGCAGTTCGCCGAGGGTTTGTAACCCTCGGCGCGCAGGGTTACTGTAGTTGGGTTTGTGTGTGTGTGTGTGTGTGTGTCTGTTACTCTCAATCTCACATCTCGAGTGTTTGTTCGTCTCACAAAGGATACAACCTATTAACAGGCAATGTACGTATATAGAAAATTCCGCTCGAACGAACGACTAGGTTGGCTCGCGTTGCATCTTCTGGTGCCTCCGAGGTACGAAGAGCACGCGGATCGATCAGACCGCGGTAAGCCCGTTGCGTATTTGCATAGAAAGTTCGAACGGTTCTGCTCCGTTGCAAAGCTAGAGCGGCAATATGCAAATACGCAACGGCTTACCGCGGTCTGATCGATCCGCGTGCTCTTCGTACCTCGGAGGCACCAGAAGATGCAACGCGAGCCAACCTAGTCGTTCGTTCGAGCGGAATTTTCTATATACGTACATTGGCAGAACGGTGAGCAGGTGAGCAGAACGGTGCGTTCTCTGGTCTCTCTCCACTCCTGATATAAATATAATTCAAGTGGCACTAAATCGTCACCTACGGCGGATCTGGAAGTTGCCTTGCAATTCTCACACAGCTGTTTGTCATTGCCTCGGTCAGGTTCCTGCCATCAGAAACATCCTCCTCAAGCGTTTCATGTCATTTCGCACATCTGCTCTCTCCTCATCTTCTCCCCTTGTTGTATCGGTGTAGTCTGACTCCTGTTATCTTTCTTATACCTTCACAGGCTACAACAATAATTATATATGGTTATCAACATGTAAAATTTTATTCTGATCAAGATGTATTGTCTGCTGTTAATATTCAGTTTATTCGTCAATATTTTGGTTTTCATTCACCCTTTGAATCTGTTGTTTATGAAATCTCAACCTCATGATTACTCTTTATCAGAGCAGAGCAGGCCGGTGGTCGGTCCAGGAGCCCGTAAGCCCTCGGTTGGCGAAGGGATAGAGTCCAGAAGGCCACTGGTCTGCTCTATCTCCCTATCACTCTCCTACTCACATCATCTTCTTTCTTTTTTATGTTGTATGTCTTTGCACCTGTGGTGGTGTGTATATCTTATATACAACCATCATCATTACTAGCGATAATATAGCTACGTACCTACAGGTTTCAGCAAGTAACAGAAATTATTATGGTGTTGTCATATCAGGTTGCGTAGCGCATACGTAGCTAGTGAAACTAGACCAGGCGTGTATCGCTCTCGTATGCTATCTAGTAGTGTAGTTAGCCCGCGTCAGACTCTGCGCGAGCTGGCAAGAGACCACGAGTAACAACTAAAAAACTAAACCCCAGCCCATCGATTCCAAAGTTCCAAAGTTCATGTTATGAGCCCAAGAGGGATACAACGATTATGCATACAGAAAAATATAAGCATAATTATATAAATGACGTGAACATGAGAAGAGATTAGAGAGAATTGGAGAGGGTAGTGGCAATCGTGAGGATGTTTTCGTGAAAACCTCCTTCAATGGTTTCCAGAACTCCCGCGACAGATATGTCACTGTTGCAGTGGTCTGAGCTCACGTGCTCGAAGTACGAAGTGCTCTGGTGGATGATGTTGTTGCAGATGGGACATTCTCGCTTTCCAAACACTGGTCTGCACATTACACTCAGTAGATGTTGAGTTAAACGAGTTCCACGAACTCCGTGATCTAGGGCGATGTCCCATAGCTTGCACCATGAGGAGGCAATTCGAGGGTCAGCAATGTGCTTAGTCGACTAGTGGTACGGCGCATGCGTTTACCTACGCGTGCGCGTCACAATGCGCCGAGGTATATTATACCGGGGGTTTGCACCAGGCTATATACTACTAGTGGAAATGTTGAACATTGTTGGCGAGCGGGAGCGACCCAACTTGGGATTTGTCTGCGATGTTCGGGCTGCATAACGTGCCGTCGTGAAGCAAGACAGAGGTACATGCACCTGTCGGAGTTATATGCGTACTGTATATAGCCAGAACGGTGAGCAGGTGAGCAGAACGGTCCTTACCTCACGCTTTCAGCTTGTCTGTCGTGGTCCACCAGGCAGCTGGCATAGCAGTAGGCTAGGCAGCGATCGATCGGGCTGGCCGACAACGCGGCGTGGTCCACCAGGCAGCTGGCATGCAGCAGTATGTGCACGAGCAATGCTAGCGTATTTGCAGCTTGGAACCATGAAGACTGGGAAGAGGTACAGCCTCAGTCAGTCACCGAAGGTTGCAGAGCATGCCGTCAAATGTGTAAAAAGTTGGAAGATAAAAAGAAGCGCGTACAAAGCCGCGCATGCGCACTTACACGACGTACGGACGCACGCACGCCCGGTCGTAATTGCCGAGCGCGTTAGCGTGAGGCAACTACTCCGCGTTGTATATGCGTACCGCGTTAGCGTGAGGCGGGTTGTATTCTCGCGATATGCGTACGTACCTACGTACGTATCGGTCTCGCTTAAGAATGTTAATTAGTCACGCTTGGGGAATGCCAATTAGTCACGCTTAGGGAATGTAAATTAGTCACGCTTAGGAATGTAAACGTCCGTCATTCGTAAGATTCGCGCGCAGATTCGTAGGAAGTCTGGCTTCGCGCGCAGTCAGTAGAGCGTGTGCGAACGAGCGGCCTCAGCGGACTGTTTACGCGCACGCATTGGCTGGCAGGCGCGAGGCAAGATATGCGCGTGCGCATTCCTAGTTGGCGAGCGGGAGCGAGCCAACCTAGTCGTTCGTTCGAGCGGAATTTTCTGTGTATTATACAGAAAGGTAATGTGCCCGCTCCCCCTCTCCATCTCTTAACCGTCGTTGAAAAGACAAGCCTCTCTGTCGTGAGGACTTTCGACGGCCGTGCGTTATGTCTGTCTACCTCTTGGGCCAGAAGCAGTATCGTTGCCTTGCCCGCTCTCTATCTGGTAATCATCCCTGAAAAAGACGAGCCTCTCTGTCGTGAGGACTTTCGACGGCCGGGCATACATAGAGAATTCGAGCAATTCTCTGTCTGTTTTTCTTCGACGAAGAACACTATCCTCCGCGGATGAATCTATCTCCTTCGAAGCCAACTGGACGGACTGTATATAAGAGGATGGATAAAAAATTCCGCACAGTATGTCGAAGCGCGTAATATTAACGCATGCGCGCTAAGACGACGACGGTGCGTCGTATATATAATATCTATATATATATATATAGATATAGATATATAGATAGAAAATTCGTCCGAAGACACGACTAGGAGGGCTCGCTCCGCTCGCCCAATTATGCGTTCGTACGTCGTGTAAGTGCGCATGCGCGTCTTTGTACGCGCTTCGAAATTATTTCAACTCTCCTGGAATGCGCTCGAACCTTCGTCGGAGACTGTATATATATACCTCTTCCCAATCTTCATGGTTCCAAGGTGCAACTTGCATAATACGCTAGGATTGCTCGTGCACATACTGCTGCATGCCAGTTGCCAGGTGGACCACGACTGACGAGCTGAAAGCGTAAGGTAAGTACCGTTCTGCTCACCTGCTCACCGTTCTGGCAATATACAGTACGCATGTAACGGCGACAGGTAGATCTGTCTTGCTTCACGAAAAGAAAGCTGTGCGCTGACGGCACGTTATGCAGCCCGAACATCGCGGTCAAATCCCAAGTTGGGTCGCTCCCGCTCGCCAACAATGTTCAACATTTCCACTAGTAAATAAATTATATATATAGAAAATTCCGCTCGAACGAACGACTAGGTTGGCTTGCTCCCGCTCGCCAATAAGGTAGGACAAGATCACGTGTGAGCAATATTTGCTGAATCAACACTCCCGAATATATGGTATTTCTCCTTCAACCAGTCTTCAAGGAATTTTCGGCAATCTATAGGCCGTGGCTGAAGTTTTTCTCTTGACAGAGTGAAGGAGGCACCTTAGAAGATAAAAAATCTTGGTGGAACCACAACTCGTTTTTTTGCTAGCAGCTTATGAATGGGAGTGCGGCTGCCTAAGCTTGCGACTTTTTTCTTCCAGCGAAGCGTTTAGCATCTGGCCTTGACTTTCCACTCCCGTCTACTACCATTTGACTCAATCCAAGGTACGTCAGGCTATTCAATTGCTGCACAAATTCAGCAAGCTATGAGCAGTAGACAGTAGATAGCATTAGGCCAAGCCACGCACCAAATTGTTGTAGCCTAGCTACTCCACAGATACCTTTGTAGAATTCCGTGAAGAAAATCCGCTAAGAACGGTTTCTTGCGTTGGAGAACTTTTCGATAGCCTGTTTGTCTTGAGACTTGGTAACGGTGTTTTGCAGGGACGAGGGCGAGTACCAGCCCATGTCCTCAGACTTCCCTCTCTCTTTAGTAAACCATATCGCATACTTCCAATACACCGCTTATGAGCATTGGCATGCGCGTTTTTGTCATGTGGTTCTTACGTAACTACGCAAGCTTGTCCTGCCCCCACTGGGTTTGCTTTTCATGTTTGTTTTGTGTTTGTGTCATTTTTTACTGCCTAAAATGGCTGTGTGTAGATCGGGCATACTGCGGTTTCAACGCGAGCGAACTCTTCCGGCCGCCCTATTTCCTTCCTTTTTGTGTTTGTGTATAGCTTCCAAAGCAAGGGCAAGCACCTCGTCTGTATGCCTTTACTTCTGACTAAGAAGACAAGTCTTGTGGGAGTGCCGGGAGTGAGTTAGCTATGCGTGTTGTTGCGTTGCTGCATGCGATAAAATTTTGGGTGTGGCGCGTCGATAAACACAGCGTATCATGGCCACTTGGTCAGGCGATCAGACGGCCAGCAAAGGTTTAGGTGAGGAAGATTTGGGAGCTTTGTTTGAAGCACTTCATCCAGTAAGTAAAAAGTACAACTTCTTTGGCTTACAAATAGGAGTGACGAAAAGTGAAATCGAAAAAATTGAAGCACAACACAGTGATCTAGACAACCGGTTGCTTGAAATTTTGTCTGTGCGTTTGAAGAATGTAAAAGCCATAACATGGAATGATATCGACAAGGCACTTCGGTCAGGTTGCGTGGGTGAGAGTAAGGTAGCAGATGGCATACGGGAAAATTACAGTCACCTGTTTAGCTATGGCCAAGAGCACGATAACAAAAGGAGAAAGAAGAAAGAGAAGAGGGGGGAATATACTCGCAGGCATAGTGAAAGAAGTAGTGATAGACAAGAGGAAGATTCAGATGGGGAGGTAAGTGGGCGCGAAGCACTGAGAACAAAACCCAAGAAATCCCCAGAAACACATTTGAGCAGCAGTGAAAAAGAATCAAAGGTGAAAAAGGTAAGGGAGACAGTAGAGAAGTCTTCCACTCGTCATAAAGAAAGAGAAATTCCAGAGGAGGGAAACGGTAAAAATAAGAACGAAAGATCAACTAAAGTCACATCTGCACAATCCGAATGCAGAGAGAAAGTGCAAAAGGAACGAAAAGGAAAAATAGAGAAGGAGAGTTCAATAAAAGAATCTAACAATGAAACTTTGGCCTCTAGTAGCGGAGAAGAAACAGTTAATTTACCATTTCAAGGTGAAGTGAGGGAGAAAGCAGACAAACCAAAGATGTCTGCCAGAGAAAATAAATCAGAGTTAGTTGAGCCAAAAAAAATAAAAGAGAAAAATCAACATATAGAAAAACATACGGGAGCTAGCGATGAAAAACGCCAGTATTCGGATGGGGAGGTACACGAAACGCCTCCTCACAAATCAAATGAAGTAGAATCAGAAGATGGCAAAGAGATTAAAGAAGCACGAAGAGGTAAGAAAAGAATGGCCCAACCAGTAAAGGAACACCTCTCCTCAGTTCAACAAGAGAACAACAGATGGGAGGGAAGATGAAATGCCCCAGTATGCTTCGACGGAGAAAAACGCATTCGAAGAAGGCGCAACGGTCAGCGAATCGAGAAGAGAACAGAGAGAGTTTCATCAGCAACACCTCTTCCTCTAGCAAATGAAAAGCCCAATCAGCTAAAGAAAGCCTCTCCCTCCGTCACGAAGAGAACAGAGAAAGGCGAAGAAAATTCGTTGATGAAGCAGCTTCGCCCAGAGTAGTACCTCAAACACATTCAAACCAAAGAATAAAACCCCGATCAGTTTCATTGACAAGAAAACAAAGAAACCGCAGCTCTTCTTTAGAGACGACACGCCTGAGTCAGGCAGCGCTCAAGATGACTCAGAGTGCTGAGGAATCAGATGCAGACGTAGCAGCTGAGGATGAGAGAGACAAAGACGTCGAACAGAAGTCATCAATGAGGGAGGAGGAGGAGGAGGGAAACAGAACATGATGACGAGCTTCTGCTCCCGCTACACTAGCGAAGAGGAAGTGCAGATGAGAACAATGAAAAAATCACTGAAAGTGAGTCAGCGGCTTCTAACGAGAAGAAGAGAAGAGCAAAGAGGAGGCTGGGAAAAGAAAAGAAGTAAAAGGAGCACTGGTCTGGATGTACAAGACATACCAGAGAATCAGTCCCTGGTGGTAGGGGAAGGGACCGAGAGGAACAGACGTTCAACCAAAGAAAAGGCAGAGAGGACTCAGGGAGAGTAGGTACAGTCCTATAGCCAAAGTATCTCCTCCCCCTCCACTTCACAGGAGGAAAAACAACAGGAGTCTGACCATCAGAGGACAACGAGGAGAAGGAACGTGAACAGGATACAGAAAGAGGAAGAAGGAGAAGAAACAAGGAGAAACAGACAAGCCACCCATCTCTGAGACTGACGACTCCTACCAGAGTGCGTGACATGGCCCAGAAGTGTCCAAAGCGGACGGCAAGAAACTCAGGAAACGTTCCGCCAGTTTTTCGTCACCTCTGCTGCGAGATTACCATCCTGTACAAGTCGCAGCTCAACTGCAGAAGAAAGGCGTGATAATCCCATTTCATGGATGAAGGACATGATGATGTCTCCGGAATCTCAACTAGCCAAGACCATTAATTTGGTTGGTGCGCTCGACAAGAAAATAAAGTCGCATCTGACCGGATCTCTCTGTTTATCGAGGCACTGCTGGAGAGCAGTATCCACAGCTGCAGGAGCAGGCCAGAGCAATGTCGAGAAAAGCCTGAGTAAATAACACTTTATGTTTGAATAACAGACTTTAGGCAGCGACACTACTTGCAGGTGAAGTCATGCTCCACAGAGAAGTTGCAAAGTTCCTAACTCCCTTTAAAACTGCGGACTTCCTCATCTGACACTACAGGTAGGCATAACTTTTGCTGTAGTATATATACTGTGTTACTGCTTTCCTCTCTACTATGTGCAGGATACAAAGGGGAGGTACTGCCCAAGAAAGCCGAGTACGTCAACTCGAGTAACCCACTGAGTATAGAAGGTGAGACATCTCTGGAAGTAAGTCAGTCTGCACCGCAGTTAAACCCAGTCTTGGCTATATACAAAGAATACCTGAAGTCCTATTACGATGCTAGAGCCCTAGCTCCAGCAGACAAGTACCTTCCCACTCTCAGTGTCCCCTACATCAACCTAGCCATGGTTGGTAGAGGGTTCTGTGCCCCTGAGCAGAGAGATGAGTTCACTAGACAAACACTGCATGGAGGGGTAGACCAGATTCTCCAGAGTAAGAAACCTATAAGCATTAGGGACCTGCTGACTCCAGAAGACATTGGTGCTCCAGTCAGGTTCATTCTGGTAGAAGGTCCTCCAGGAATTGGTAAGAGTACCTTTGCCTGGGAGGCGTGTAGGAGATGGGACGAGATAGAAAGCCTCAGTGGCTACCACACTGTTGTACTGCTCAAGTTGAGGGAAAAGTGGGTCTTGAATGCCACATCACCTTCTGACCTCTTCAGATACCCTCCTGATCCTGAATTTAGTAAAGCGATTGCAAAAGCATTGAATAGTTCCCATGGGCATAACCTCTTGCTGATTTTAGACGGATTCGACGAAGTCTCTCACAGTTTCCATGAGAACTCTGTCATAAAAAGTATCTTGTGCAGGCAGCCCTTGCCAAAATGTACCATCATCCTAACTACTAGGCCATCCGCTAAGCACACGCTCCGAAGCGTCTGCCAGCCTCGAGTTGATAAACACGTAGAAATTATCGGGTTCACAGATGAAGAGAGGGTGAGGTATGTCACTGAGGTCTTTAACAAGGAACCAGAACTTCAAGTGAATGTTCTTAAAGTACATGTTTCTTGTCCCTCACATAAGTCAATGATGTACATTCCACTAACTGTGCCATTATAGCACAAGCTCTATTACGAGTCTCAGAGTAGCCGCCATCGCCTCGTATACCAAGAACAAGAACACAGCTGTACAAGGCACTCACTCATTCTCTCTCGTCAGACACATGAAGATGAAAGACAGCAATTGCGAATATTCATCAATGCTTCCGGAAGGTCTGGATGGAACTCATATGGATAGGTTTAACATTTTGGCAAAGTTTGCTTTCGATAGCTATCACAAACGTGGGTCGAGGAAGGTAACATTTTTCAAGGAGGATATCCCTGAGGGATTAGTTCATTTCGGGTTCATGAACGAATCCACTGAAATGTATGCTAGCAAAGGAATGGGGCGAACATTGTCATTTCTCCACCTCAGCCTACAGGAATATCTGGCAGCTTGGCACCTAGCTAGTAACTACAGCATTGAGTTTCAGGTGGCTTATCATTGGCTGTCTGTTAGTACAGAATGTACCAGACTCCCACCTCTTCCACCCGATCAGGATCCACCTCCACCATCTTTTTATAAGCACACTGAAGAAGAAACTACTTCACTCCCACATTCTCCAAATCCTCCCCTCACACACAGAGTTAAAATTTCATCAGCCTCTCATACACAGAGTAAACGAAGAGAGGAGCTCAATAATCATCACTTGAGCACCAGGAGTCATCGCTAGTGGAGCCAGCCATATTCCTGGCTGGTATCACTGGCTGGAGATGCCAGTCAGAGGATGACAGGAACCACTGGGAGATGTATCTCAGTCATGACACTGCAGATCTTATTTATCCCGATTTGTTGTTACCATCTCTCTATGAGGCTCAAAATCCAAACATTTTATCACATTATTTTGCTGGTGAGGCTAGACGACGTTCAAGAATTTCCATTGGTCAATACAGAGATGTTAGTAAACCATATGACAGCTATGCTCTTTCGTACTGCCTAGCACTTTCCTCATATCCATTGTCTCTGTTGGTTCTTGACATAAGGTATGAAAGTGATGTTTCACTTGTGGAAACATTTGTCAAAGGACTTGATGATCACTGCAAAACCACTACACCAAATGTCACGCAGCTTCAAGTAGAACTGTATATTGAACCACGTGAGGATGAAAACAAGTGTCTATCTTGGCTAATGAAATCCAAGCTTGTTAAACTTAAACGAGTAAGAAATGTATTCAGATGTATTTCCAGTGCCCATGTTAATTATTTGCTGTCACTTGTTGGTGTTGAAATACTAAAGATCCATTCTGATTCAATTCAATCTTGGGAGTGGCTGCCTGTGTTACAGTCTCTCAGTGATTTGAAAATATTGCACATTTCCAGCGGAAAGGAATGCACTCCTCCACTAACCAATCTACTTCACTGGATAGTCAAACAGAGACTGACAGAGATTGTGGTTGATATTAAATTCCCACCCACCAGAAATCGTCCCAGTTCAACAGTTATGCTGGTTGATTCTTTACCAAAATCAGTTCTGAGAATGAATCCAATTACTGAAATGATGTTGTGCAACGTCGTATCTCGTGAGACCATGGCTGGTGTCCGGAGCATCTTACAGCACTGTCCCCATCTTACCACATTGGAGCTAAGGGGAACCAGACTGGGCTATGATGGAATCCTCTACATATGTATCGCTCTGAGAACTAACAAAGTCTTGAGGAATCTTATAATTGATGATGTCGAATCACCACCATCCAAAAAACAGAGTTTATTTAGCATTCGTACTTTTAATCCTGTCTCTTTCTCATCCATGGAGAGAGTTCCTCTGCCTAGTAAGACTACCTGCACCGACTTCCTTCTGGAACTAAACAGCATTCTCAAGGACAACACTACTCTGGAAGAGATGAAGATCCAGTCTGGATTATTCCTCCCTCTCTCTGCTGGTGAAGACGGGGAGTATTGCCAGTGGAAAGGACTTGGACCTCTTCAACAGTTCAATATGGGGGTTGTTGCTAGTTGTGTGTCTCCTAATCTCAGGAGATCATTCTCATCTTCAGACCTGACTCAGCCCCAAACTCAACTCTTCTGGGACAGGAAGTTTCGTAATTATCGTAGGAGAGCAGAAATTGATTTCAAGGAGTTGTTTTTCTTCAAGAAGAAGAAGAGGAAGAAGCTATTCTCTCTTCCCTCGTTCGCTGCTCCAGACACTGATGTTCTACAGTCATTCTCTGGTCTAGACCCTCGTCTCAAGAAATGTCTGGAGATGGATAATTCCCACCAGAATAATGTGGAAAGACTCAGGGGTACTTGTTGGGGTATGTTGAGAAAAGTTTCACGCCACTTACCGCAACGGCATCACACGCTTCAATATGATTATGTATAGATCATGGAAAACTAAAATATTAACTATAATACTGAGTTTTAGGTTTTGTAAGAAAATACTAACAAGTATGGCACTGTCAACATAATTATCTGATAGCTGTTCATGATAATATATATTCTGATGTGCTTTTGGATGCTGTGGTTGGTTCCCAGTGCGGTTTACATAACATTTTAGAGCGACATACACCATATTGAGTCATGCAAGGTATGTGTTCTATGTTATGCTTTGTGTGGCTAGGACTGTGTCTGCTGCAGAGTCCCGGCAGGTGGCAAGTTGTGCTAGGAGCTGTCCCAGGGAATAGTGACGACAGAATGCCTGCAGAAAAACAGCACTAAAGTTCAAACTCTCAGTGCACTATGCATGAGCGGTACCGCTTATTGATGGGCTGGGCTACAAGTATGTGTATACTCGTGGTATAATTATAGCTCGTTGAGAGTTTGACACGGGCTGAGCTAGAGCGGACACACCGACAAGTACTGTAACCCTCACTGCACATGCACGCGAGGGTAGATCAGTGAAAGACCATTGCTAGAGATCACTGCACCTGCAGAGCGAACCTCAGAGACCTAAAAAGGTACCCCTATAAAAGGCGCAGGCAAAGCAAAACAACTGTAAACTGCCAGAGTTGGACTATATAAGGTACTGTGTTGTGTGTGATCAGTCATTACCCTCGGCACGCATGCGCAGCGAGGGTACAGTAGTTGGGTCTGTCTGTTTGTCTGTTACTCTATATCTCACTCCTCGAACGTCTGTTCGTCCCAGAAACGATACCATCTACCCAACGGGCGACGAAGGTCAGAAAATAAAGGCGGTTTTCTCTGAAAATGCTCCGTTGCAGAGCTAGAGCGCTTCCACCATTGTACGGCTAATGCGTAGTCGGCCATTTTTTATCGCTGTGGAAAACGCGCATGCGCTTATATTTTCAACAGGCTTAACCTCGACCGGGTCCGCTTGCTCTGTGTATCTTGAAGGCACAAGAAGTCACAACGAAGGGCGTGTATCGACTCTCGCATACTATCTACTACTGTAGCTAGCCCATGTCAGACTCTCTGCGAGCTACTAGCGGGAGACCACGAGTAAACGCATACTAATAGCAGCCCAGCCCATCAATTAGCGGTACCGCGCTTCCCCAGTTCGCTGAGGGTTTGCACTTTAGTGCTTTTCATTCTCGTAGATGTGAACACTCTGTACGAGCTAATGACTATGCTTACCTCTAGTTTCTTGCCAGGAGTGGAGTCAGTGCTGCTGGCCAGGGAGCAGTGAGGGTGACAGAGTAAATAGAGCTCAACCAGAGCCTCTCCCTCTGACCACCTGGGAAAGAGAGGAACAGTTTATTGTATGGCAAAAACAAAGACCAACAGCACTGAATGTTCTCTACTTACTAACTTGCAGGCTCTTAAACCTTCAAATTTGCAAACTTCTCCCTCTGAAGCATAGCAACAGACTCACAGGTATTTCTCCACCAAGTCTTTCACTAGTCCCACTATCCTCTCCTGCTGAACCAGGTACCACACCAGACCTCCAAAGTGCCGCGTGGACCGAAGACTGTCATACGCTCCCTCCACCTCGATTCTATCGTACACAGTGCGATGAACCTGGGAAAAACACACACCATGTCTGTAACAAACTACAACATCTTCTGAACTTTGCCAATGTGGTTGATTGTGCTATAATACAGGTTCAGTCCAATTCTGGCAGAAAACTCAACAGTTTTCGCTTTCGGGTGTGCATTGCTAACAGTGAGTGAAACTGGCAATAGGTAATACATGTACACTGTGATAGGAATGGTCTAACTGTTCCATGAGTGTGAAAATGTTAGACACATGTTGTACTCACTCTGATATAGTCTTCAGAATCAGGTTCACACTGAAGACATGCCATGTCCAGAATGTCTCCGTATCTCCCGGCCTCCAGGACCGGCAGCAGACCCTCCTCTGTCAGCATGTGAGGCAGCCACATCCTCCGTCCGAGGCTCGGGAAGTAGACCTGCATCATGCGGTCCCTCTCCTCCCACGTGGCCTCCCGCAGGACTCCCGTCGGCTCCCTCACCACCACCTCTCTGTCCTGGAGCAAGGACGAGTGTTGAGGGGTTCAGGGGGGTTTCAAGGAGGGGGGAGGAGGCAGAGGACGAGGAGTAGATTTTCAAACGTTTTTGTCAATGTATGTATGGTTAAATCTAGGCACAGTTTACACCTACACACCTACCCTGTTGTCTTTGTTCATGGAGATGTTGGTGAAAACCATGCGGTGCTCCAAGTACCCATCCAGTTCCTCGTCATGTCTCAGAGTCTCTCCTCTCGGCTCTCTCTCCGGGAGAACGGGAGTCATCTCCAGGAGCTTCTTGGCCTCAGTAACCGCCTCAACGTGGGCCTACATGCGGCAGAGAAAGATACGAGGTCATTATGTAGTACTATTGCTGTGGTCACCACTCACCTTGTGGAGTTGGTCCCTGGTCATCAACTGGTAACGAGGCGGAACCAGCGGCTCTTTTCGCGGGGCAAACACGACGTCCATGTCCATCCCGTTAACCCTCCCCAGTAGCTCCCGCACCCTCTCGTCCTCCACGCTCACCCCCGCCACCACTCCCTATTTGTGGACACACAATCACAGACACGTACAGAAAAACACGGTTTCTCAACTGTCTTTTGCTCTTTTTCCTAACCTGCACTGTGCACAGCCGTCTGTGAGCCCTGGCACATCGCCCAGCCAGCCGCACGACGTTCCGGAGGGACGACATAGCCAGCCGAAAGACGTTTAGAGACGCGCCTTCTGCGCGTAGAACACCAATGACCCCACCTCCACGTGGTGTTTCCTGACCTTTGCGCCCTCACGGTTCTCGCGGAATGGAGGCCTCACAGAGCTCACAACGTACGGACAAACACATCATATCATGAGAGGGACGGCGGAATCATGTGCATGTGTACTTAATGCGTGTGTGCAGGAGAGCAGCAGTCGTCTCAGTCTCAGCGGCAGCAGAAGTCTTCGGCAGCCGGGGTGGGTGTGGGCGGGGCTGCAGTCGCCGGGGGAACCCAGCTGCCGCTGGCCAGAGTCAAACTCATCATCAAGACGGACCCGGACACCTCTCTCGCCAGTCAGGAGGCCGTGCTCCTCGTCACGAAGGTGACTAGCTACCCAGATTAGGGCGTGCTAATCGTGTTACAGCCAACCCTTACCCATGGTACTTGTAGATCAGATCATGGTGTTCAATCCTCGTTATATCTAGCTTGCCCCAATCCTATAGACTAATGTATGTTGACAGTTTTCATGGAAAAGTCTCAATTTCTACAGTAGAGACTGAAATTGACCTTGGTGTGCAGCAATTCCGAAATTCTCCGCGCCCACAGGCTACAGAGCTGTTCATCAGCCACCTGGCTCGGCAGGCCTACGAGTACACTGTGCAGGGGAAGAGAAAGACTCTGCAGAGGAGGGACATTGACGCCTGTCTCTCCAGCCACGACGAACTGACCTTCCTTGAAGGTGCTCTGGACCCACCACACACTGGCTAGACACACCTCACACGGCATTCTTGCTTCTCAACATTCACTTTGATTTGTTCTCCTTCTCGTATATACTACAGTTTTTGTCATATTATGTGGCTTTCAAATGGCAGATTAATATCAGAGCAAACCTACCTAGTAATCTGAATTGCGTATTTTTTTGTGGTTGGCACTGCACATATATACTAAGCCTCCAAGGGGGAATGATGTTTGCTTCACCTAACTTCTCAGGGAGTGAGATTTGGTCAAGGTGAGAGCAAGTGCCTTTCCCCACCCCTAAATATGTTAAACCAGCACAGCGTGAAATTGTACAGAAAATCAATGTGGTTTTTTCAACACAAATTGACTATAGACAGCGTGGTTCCTAGTGTGTCTTGTGATCCGAGTGTTGAGACGGAGGGCGTGAGGGCCACAGGAGCCCCACCAGCAGAGTGGTGTGGCAGACGTGCAGGAGAAGGGAGGAGACAACGGTGGAGGGATACACGTTCCAACAGTACTCCACTGTCAACAGCAACAGTACCCTGTGTGTGTGTGTGTGTGTGGCGGGCCAGGAGTATATACAGTGTGTATATAAATGTAACGAGACACAGACATTCATTAGCAGAAAAACTCAAAATTTCCCCTCAAACATTTCCTGCTCTAAACCATGTGCTCTTAATGGCAACATACTTCGCCCGACTTCTCAGCCTCACAAGACTTCTATATTGGTACTCCTAGCATTGCATTTTTGGCAAGTGAGTGAGCAGTTCAATTTTTCGTACGTTTTGACCCATTTTAGAATGACATAATGGTATGTGCAGTGTGGATGCATGGGTTGTACATGGAAAAATTCCACCTTGAGCCAACTATAATTATAGGCAGGTTTGCTTCGCTCGCGAAATATACCCCTCCTATTGGATTCAGTGTGCCTATGCTAGGTGGTGTGTAGTGTCCATACCTGAGGGTACAGGGAGTGGAGTGGTCCAGAGGAGAAAGGGCAGACTGTAGAAGTACCAGACGTAGAACTGGTAGTGGAGAGAGCGTGCAAACGACCATTCCCACCAGGTTGGAGGTAAACAGCATCAGGAGCATGTCTAGTATAATATGGGAGTCAGAACAAGACATTATCTCACCAGCCAAGAGTTCGAATGAACTCCTCAAACCTTCAGTTTTGACGTGTCTTCTCTTTCTCTTGTCTAGTCTCCATCTAAACAGCGACTGTACACCGTGACCTCTGTGAATTAATGCAAACACTCACAAACAGTGGAGAGGAGCTTAAAAGAACATTAACGTGGTGTCTGTTGCTTTCTGAAAGTGTTAAGCATTTTGCTGCAATGAATGGGTATATTGCAAACCAGGCATCAGAGAGCTGTCATTAGTGTTTCATCTGTTCTTGCGTTAAAGCATTATGGACTTGCGCAATGCACACACAGGCGCTTGTGTAATACAGTCGAGACTCCAAAAATTCCATTAGTTACCTCTGACAAAGAGACACCTCTGACTTTCAATGTCTCCAAGGTTCGGAGGTTTACATGTATCGTGAACCAGGCTTTAGAGAATTGTCAATAAATGAAGGGCTACATATAGCAGTCAAACCTGGTCCATCGGAGGACTATGAACGCAGCCAGCAGTGCAATGTGACAAGCCAGGAGCACTGTGTGGAATCCTCGATGCAGGAACAGCCACTCGGGCAGACAGCGCCAGTTGACCGTCCACTGGTAGAGGAACTGACGTCCGAAATCAAAGGCTCCTCTCATGTAGCTGACGGGGGAGCTGAGCAAGAACGGAGCTCCCAGAGCAACCTGTGTGTACGGGTATTTCACTTGTAGGACTGTACATTGGCATGGTGCCCGCACTCCCCATGCAATGATTATTTTGTGTGATGTTGAGTGTGTAACTGGTAAATTTAGTGGATGCTACAGCTGTCACATTTATAAAAACGCTAACTGTGATGGACACTGACATGAATTAAAGGTTTTATAGAAGTGAAGATCTCAGGTTCTGACCTGCAGGAGAGCACAGAGAGAGATGAGAGGCAGTGTGCCTGCCCAGCCGTGGGTCAGCAGGAAAACCACCAATAACCCAGGAGCATAGAGCAGCACGTTCATTTTCACTGAGACAGCAACGCTGTGGGCGAGAGAGAGAGAGAGAGAGATACTAGCAAGGCTAGCCCAAAATCTACAACACAACGCAAAGGCTAAAGTAACTGTACATGCCCATCACTCATATTCTAGGCTACGTTGTCTTCCTACAGTACACCGTACGGATGAGACCTGAAGAGGGCAGCAGTGGGGAGCCACAGTCTGCGGACGAGGCAGAGAAGGGAGCAGTGGAGGAGGAGCATGGCCACAGGGTCGTTGAACATCCGCAGCACAAATATCGAGTGGACACGATACGCCGTACACGTGAGGAACAGTAGAATGTAGGGTGGAAGACGGAGAGACTGTGTAAAAATGTTAATGATCATTTATCACCGGTGTATTAACTTTATGGCCCATATGTCATGAAACCTGCATTCAAAATAAGAGGTTTCTCCATTATTTTCTGTTATTCAGTACACGGTATCCTATTTGGCTTGTTCTATATTATGTATAATTGTGTGACTGACTCTGGCCACTCTGGAGTATATGGAGGTCACCAGGAGCAGGTTGAGGAGGTAGAGGCCGGCAAAGAGCACCTGTGCCACTGCCACCTTCCCACCACCTCCAGTCAGGAAGTAGAACAGGGAGTAGACGTAGACAAACCCCGCCGGATAACTGTGTCATGCAGGAGTGTGTGTGTTTAGGTTAGAAATAGTCCATAGAAGACAGATTTTAATTCCGCAATTTCCAATCAATAAACTGTTGTAGTCTACTTTAGAACAATTTTTCCACATGCAGGATTGTCATTTATACTGATGGTCTACATGGAGTGTGCATAGAGAAGGTGAATGGTAAAGGAACTATTTATTTACATTTGTGAGCCGAAATGAGGAAGGATAGTCAGCTTACACAAGAGGTCCAGTGTCCCCGCGAAGCTGGCTATAGTCTAGTGTTCCATTCAGTGCTCCCTCCACCTCCTGCATGTACGCCACCCAATCGATCTCTGTGTCTGTAGCAACATCAAGAAGAATACACGATCACGTGCACAGTAGTAAAAAGGCAAGGCCATTACAAAGGCTCACAGGGAACTCTCCATATGATTCCTGCCGTGGCAACCGCATCCAACAGAAAGAGTAGCACTGATACATGAGGAAAATATCTGGTGCCCAGTGCTAGGGCCTGTGGCCGCTGCAATAGACGGTGGAACTCTGCTCTCCATCTCTCCATCGCGCGAGTTTTTTCACTGACAACGTGGGCGCATGCGCGTTTTGAATAGTAGGCGTGGTTTGTAGGTTGTGTGGCCGTAAACACGACTTTTGTTCTTATAAAACGAAGTGGAAAATATTTTATTGAACCCGTGACTTCTGCTGCTGCTGCGCTGCTGCCAGAGCAAGAATGGCCACTCCACAGGTCGCCACGTCCAGGGAGCACGCTCTAGCCGTCACGAGAGACTACATCTCGCAGCCCAGACTCAGTGAGTTCCTCTGCAGCTAGAGGATTTGGTGTTTTTTTTACTTCTTCATCTCTCTTCTACTTCCGCCCACTCACTCACACGTGTCATCAACTTTCAACCTCTGCGCAGCTTACAGGACGGTGTCCGGAGTAAACGGTCCCCCTGGTTATTCTGGATCAAGTAAAGGTGAGGGACTTTGTGAAGACTGTGTAACAACAACTGGCGGTCAGTTTCTGGCCAGACCTTTGTAGACGGGCAATAGGGAGCTGAAGGTAGTTTCACATGCACACTTGGAGCGTTTTACAGTTAATGGTTCTGTGGAAATATCCTTATGAAGTATATTAACAATGAGTCGGTGAGGGTGTCCTGTGCTGTCGTGTGGCTTTGAGCCCGACAGAGTGAGTGAGGTTGTCTCTCCCTCCGTGACCTGGTCTCTGTGTGTGTATCTACAAGTCAGTCGGGAAGAATAGCGCAAGTTGTAGACAAACACGACTCTATTGCTGGGCTATAGGAACCGAACAAGAGGGATTGAGGTGTCGCACTATTGTGCCGGGGATTGTCTAACTCTCTGCTCTCTATGGAGGACACTGTTCACACACACACACACACACACTCTTCTCAGAAGAAACTGTCACTCTCCTCTCTTTCTCTCTCCCCTCCTTTTCCCTTATCTCTCTCCCCTCCCTTCCCCTTTGCACCTCCACCACTTTAACCCTCCCCCTCCCCCCTCTCTCTCTTCTTTCCTCCTCTGCTCTCCCCTTTCTCTCTCTCCTCCACAACTTTACCCCTCCCTCTCTCTCTTCTTTCCTCCTCTGCTCTCTCTCCTCCACCACTTTCTCTTCCTCCTCTCTCTCCTCTCCTCCTCCCCCTTCTCCTATATGTCAGTTCCCAAAGTATGCAGAGATAGTGACACTCACACTTTCCGATGGATCAAAACGCAGTGGACAGGTGTTGGAAGTCAGCGGCTCCAAGGCTGTGGTCCAGGTCAGTTTCTTTCCACCCTCATCCCTCTCAATTGTATTGCGCTAAGCACAATAGTATTTTTTATGAATGGTGTCTAATGGCAAGGTCTCATAGCCTTGGGGAAACTGACTGTAATTGGCATTGATAACACTGCTGGGTGTCACTAAGTATGGCAGTAGTGCAATAGATATTCACCATTAGTGCAATAGGGATGATATTCACCATTTTGAATGTATTGTTCAAGGTGTTTGAGGGTACGTCTGGTATCGATGCTAAGCACACCACATGCGAGTTCACAGGAGACATTCTGAGGATCCCCGTGTCGGAGGACATGTTGGGTCAGTGTGTAGTGAGTTATATTATGTATGGCACTAATACTTTAACCATTGCGTTTGTACTGTACAATAATGTATGGTGTGTACACTAGTGAGTGTTGTGGGATGAGTATTGTAGCAGAGTGAGAGGAAGTGGATCACCTGAGAGTCATGTGAGAGTCACCTGACTTTCTGCAGGGAGAGTATTCAATGGCTCTGGAAAGCCCAAAGACAAGGGACCCAACATTCTGGCTGAGGATTTCCTGGACATTCAGGGTCAGTACAATCCCTCTTAGATCATACACCAATTATTGATGTGTATGACTGTGCTGCTGCACTCTTGGCTAGTCTCTCCATCATTCCCTTTTGTCACTACTCAACTACTCATTTTCCCTTTGTGGCTGGCTCTTGAATTACGTAGTACCGTGTGTATATACTCTGAAATTTTTCACAGTGCGAGCAAGGACCAATTCTGCAAAACATTTTTTCACGAAAATGTTATTGGCTAGTGAATTGTGAAAGTTTGCTGCTCTGGGGTGTTTGTGAGGTTTAGAATCTCCCCTCACCCCCTCACCCCCTCCCCCTCCTCCCTCTCCCTCCTCCCTCTCCAGGCCAGCCGATCAACCCGTGGTCTCGTATCTACCCCGAGGAGATGATTCAAACTGGCATATCTGCCATCGACACGATGAACAGCATCGCCAGAGGACAAAAGATCCCCATCTTCTCTGCTGCCGGTCTGCCTCACAACGATGTAAGGATGCCCAACGACTGGGGTTTTCTGTTCACTACTATACTCTTTGTTCTCAAAATAATCGTGGCTGCTCAAAAATTAGACTAACATGAGCAGTTTCGTATAATGACAACCAATAATCATGTGAACAAACATTGGCAGTTGCAAATTTTGAAAGGCAAAAAATTTTTCTGCGTGAATAATAAAATTTACCAATCTTCCTCGCTCCCTCTCTCCTTCCCCTCGATGTCTGTCAGATTGCAGCCCAGATCTGTCGCCAGGGAGGTCTGGTGAAGCTGGAAGTGAGTCCCAAGGGGAAGACGGTCATCGACGACCACGAAGACAACTTTGCCATCGTCTTTGCCGCCATGGGTGTAAGCTGCCAGGGAGAGGAGGGAGGGAGGGAGGGAGTATATATGAAATGCAGGTGGCATAACCCAGTGGAAGCTCTTTGATCCGGACACCAATGGGACAAAAGTGTCTGTGTTAGTTAGGTGTCATCGGAAGTAAAAATGCAAGAATTTTTCCTGGGGAGGGAAAGTGTGTCCTTGTTTCAGGGGTGTCTTTAGAGAGGGGTTCCACTGCATGCTGGAGATCCAAAAGCTACCCCCTTATCCCCATCACTACTCACCCCCACTACTCACCTGTCACTGATTACTCACACACTCACGTGTCCAGGTAAACATGGAGACTGCACGGTTCTTCAAGCAGGACTTTGAGGAGAACGGGAGTATGGAGAACGTGTGTCTCTTCCTCAACTTGGCCAACGACCCCACGTAAGACACACCCACTGGGTGGGGGCCCCCCAATGTCCACTAAATTTTAACTGGCACTGATGTCACATCACATGAATTTGGAAGCTTACAAGTTTACTGGCAATACATTTGCATGGCTGTTGATGCAATGCTACTATATTATGTCAGCAAGGTAGATGTTTTACTGCCTCATCATTAACATTAACTGTTCCATGCATCCTCTAATGAACTGGAAAAGGGCTTGTTCCTATGAATATACTGTTTCTAGAGGGAACATATAGAGCATTTTGCACTGTTTCGAAATTTAGCCCATTCTCTCCTCACTCCATCACCGTTAACCCCTCTTCGTGCAGGATTGAGCGTATCATCACACCTCGACTGGCGCTGACCACGGCAGAGTTCCTGGCCTACCAGTGTGAGAAACACGTCCTGGTTATCCTGACTGACATGAGCTCCTATGCCGAGGCCTTGAGAGAGGTCAGTAAGGGGGGGGAGGAAAGATGGGGGGATGGGTACTGGAGAAAAGTGTGTTTTTAAGTTAAAACCCTTTGCCAGCCACAGGCATATATATATGCCCACAGCCTCCATAAGTCCATGAGAATTTATATTATACTAGGCGTTAATATGTGTTTATTTAAGGAGATACCCATGGCGTCCAAAGGGTTTAAGCATGACACTGCAGACTGCTCTGCCAGCAACTGCTGGGGTAGCTTTGCTAGTGGTCTACACAACCAGACCAGGGCAAACCTCAACTGTGCTTTGGCCCAGTAAACTCTCGCTCAGCATGTGATGATGACATCGTTATGACATAACAGGTGTCAGCAGCCAGAGAGGAGGTGCCCGGTAGGCGTGGTTTCCCGGGCTACATGTACACCGATCTGGCCACCATCTACGAGCGAGCCGGGCGTGTGGAGGGACGCAACGGCTCCATCACTCAGATTCCCATCCTCACTATGCCCAACGATGGTACACCTCTCTCTCTCTCCCTTTCTTCACAACGCTCACTCCTTCCCCTTCTCCCTCGTCACACTCACCCCATCACTCTCTTACTCTCTCTCTCTCTCTCTCTCACTATGCCCAACGATGGTACACCTCCCTCTCCCTTTCTTCACAATGCTCACTCCTTCCCCTTCTCCCTCATCACACTCACCCCCTCAGTCTCTTACTCTCTCTCTCTCTAAATCTGCGAAGCACGAAGAGCTTAATCTTTATAACATGATACCAGTGATAAACTGCATGTTGCACACACACGTGTGCTGCATGCACTAAGAGGGACAAGACACTGACAACTTGTGAAAATTGGATCACAAATCTCTCGTAATATGTGACACTCTTGCTGTGTGTGGCCCTGGTACTAGTCGCCTTATTCAAAAGATTTGCAGCCGTCTTTATTTGAGGTGAAATAAATCGAATATGGAAGTTTTGCAAATCATTGCACATATTGAAAAAGGCAACACATGGGCGGAAAAGGGGACACTTCGTAAAAGAACCTTTACTTCAAAGGGTCTCCACTTTATTAATGCTGGAATGTGTGCATTAGAACGTAATGCAGTTGGTTAGTGTTCTTTTCAATCATTGAATGTCTTTTGTGTGTGTGTTTTACATGGGAGAAGGGCTGGGCCACAAGTGTAAATAGGATGGGCGAATGTACACAAACGTGTCGCTGATTACAATTCACTTTTTGTTGTGAAATGATTTTCTTTCCAGCTCTGGGCACAGCGGGTGTAATAGTGTGGTTTCACACTGGGGAAGGGGAAGGAAAAACCTCTTAAAGTGTGTGTGTGTGTGGTTTGTGACGCGCTGATTTTGTTGTTTTTCTGTCTGCGGTAGCGACTAGGGGAAATGGTCAGTAACGGCACTTCTATTGCCCCTATACATCAATTTCCGCTTATAAGCTTTTTCTGCATGGTGTCCAAAGGGTTTTAAATACATAGGCTAAGTAAGGTCAATTCGATTCGGGTGTACCTTTAGACAAATCAATCAGGACACTGTACGTGACTGTTGTCGACAAAGCCAGGTCACCTAAACCTCTTCAGGACACCTAAATCTGGAAAATCAGGACACAACAATCAGGACAGCTGTATTAGGACACAATGATCAGGACAGCTGTATTAAATCAGGACAAACTGTGACAAAAAACGCTGCACCTCTCATACTGATAAGAGCAGCAATACAGCTTTTCCTCCACATATCACAAAGACACTACTGCCCTTTTGCTGTGGTGCATTTCGAGTGTGTTTTGGACAACACGTTAATTGGAAGGCTAATTGTGTTATGCTAATAGTTGGTTCCTTGGGTTCTTGGGTCAATAGGTCAATCGGCTGGTTCGGCGATTGCGTTGGCGGTCGTGTAGACTACGTGGTTTCGACACCTTGGCAGCGACCAGGTGTCGGGTTGAATGTCGTGTCGTTGCAGGAGCTAAAACGACCGGTTGTTCCTGGCCCCGGGCCTCTGCTGGCTGTCTCTCTAAAACCGCTGGCCTCGACTCTCTCTACGTACCCGTGTTTTCGCTGACAACTGCGCGATTAAGACGAAGACACCTCTCTAATAAGGGCGCGTTTCTTTTCCCAAGAACGGTTTTTGTTCTGACCAACCCCCGAGATCAGGACACCTCCATTAATATGGACACTTTCTTCTGTAACATTGGTGTCCAGAGATTAGAGGGGTTCCTCTGTACTTGGATTTACTGGATGTGGACGACCCTCTCTCAGTACTACATTTGACGTGAACTAGAATGTTAAATGTTTGAATCCCACAATTTTCCTCTCTTGTAGACATTACTCACCCGATCCCCGACCTGACGGGGTACATCACTGAGGGTCAGATCTACGTTGACAGGCAGCTGCACAACAGACAGGTACCGTCCATATCACCTAGTATGGATAGTAGCAACGTTCCATTGGCAGTACTTTGTGGATAGTAGCACTGTAGATCGGATGCAACGTTCCATTGGCGGTACTATAATAGGATAGTGGTACTAGCATTGCACTGGTGAACCGAGTGGAAATTTTCAACAAGTATGTATGCAAGCAAGTATTCGGGCATGGTGGCAGTGTGTGCAGTGGTGAGCATGTGAACAAGTGACGAACCTGTTGTAACGTGGGGTATATGCTCTCAAGATGGGTTCCATCTAGCGCGTGTAGGAATGTCAATTACTCGGTGTGCTACACGCAAGTGTATTTACCGATGACGTGCGTTACGAGTACTCTGTGCATGCGAGAGTGAGGTCTTCCTTGCCTGTACAGTACGTATACTGCATAAACTGGGACTAACCCTTTTTTCCTATGTATTATAGAAATCAGCTTTTGACAGTAGAGCAAAACGGAAGTGTAGCTGAGGCGGAAATGAGTTTCCTAGTCTTAAAACACACACGTAATAGCTGTAGGTATCTACATAGCTAGGCAATCATTTCCAGCTTCAAGCTCTGTGGGATATATAATTATACCTTTTGGAATGGCAAACCTTTTGTTAGAGGGCGCGTCTTTCATGCCCCATTATTAGCAGCTAATCACATTTTCCGCCAAAAAACGAAAAAAGAACAACACAAGACTGTTCATGTACATGTCGTACACGTGGTCTTTGGCTTGTCCAGGGAAGTGCTCCTTACAATCCAGCCACAGGCAGGCAGCCTACGTACAATTTGATGCTGCAAACCCCTTGCAGAGGACCCTCCAATTTCACTACTATCTTGTATATAAGCTATGCTAGTGGACCTCACTTCGCAGAACATTAGAGGACCGATGCCTTGGTGTGTGTGTGTGTGTTAATCCAAGGCCCCAGTTCATACTCTACTTCGCAGTCGTGTATGGAGGTGTCTTGCATGCAGTATAGGTATACTAGCAAGACGGTGGTCCATGGTGCAAGCCACTCTAGCGATGTTGCCAGCGGTATAATATTATAGCAGACGTGGACAGACAGTCTAGTGATCTTGCAATGCAATGGTCGATGGTAGTAGATAGCCTATGGGTCTTGCATGCAGTAGTCAGTAATCATGTGATATATACTGACACAGTGCATGCAGTAGTCAGCAGCAGGCAGTCTAGGGGTGTGTAGTGCTGTATTGACTGGCCACTACTTTTACTCTAGACACCACCGAAATTACACACATCCGCTTGTACCTGTTTTCGCAGTCTACGGCCGTACTTCACTCCAGACCTTTTCCGACGCAAACGTATGTCCGCGGACGGTCACATCAGCCGGTTGGAATATGAGCGCATGTGTTTGTCAGTGAAATGACACGCGAGGAGAAAATGATTTCGGTCCACGTTTTGCTAGTAGCTGGCAGGCTTGAATATTGTTTTTGTTACTGTCAGATCCAACAATTGAGACTTGGTGTACATTTTGTCACACGATTGCGAAATTTTTTTATGCCTGAACGGTAAGTATGATACCTGCTGATGTGTGGTTGTTGCGAGGTGGTGTGTCTCTAATGTAAAGAGCTAGTTAGTCATTCCTCTTGGGGAATATTCAATCACTGAATGTGTGAGGGAGGACCGTACATTACTATGGGAGGTGTAACTAACATTTTCTTCACATGTTTAGCAGAAAGAATGTTATGCCATCTCGTTTTTGGGGTTTTGACCATCCACTGGCATTTTCCCGTGTGTTTGTTCCTACTTGTCCCTGCAGATCTATCCGCCCATCAATGTGCTGCCGTCCCTGTCTCGTCTCATGAAGTCTGCCATCGGGGAGGGCATGACTCGTAGGGACCACGCCGACGTGTCCAATCAACTGGTGTGTATGCATTCCAGGGTCTCTCTCTCTCTATCTCTCTCTCTCCCTCTTTCCTCCCTCATTCCTCCCTGCTCCGCAATTTCTTCCCCATACCCATACATGTATCTCCCTCTCCATTCCTTCCACGTGCCTCCATTTTGCCACCTTCACCCATCTCTCCATCTGCTTTTCTTTCTCTCTTCTTTCCTTCCCTCTACCTCCATTTTGAGGAGAGAGAGCGCGAACACAGCATCCACGACAATGTGGGACCACAAATTTTTGAAAGACGAAGACCCCTCTGCCCCCCCTCCCCAAACCTCCTCCTTATCTGTCTTGTCTCTCATTCTTATCCTCAAATGTGGCTCCAAAGCCGCGATCACGATGCAGCTTTGTTGCGTGAGACAGAGTTGCGTAATGTGTGGCTATGATAGACCATACAATGGGTCCATACACTTCTTGAAGTTGCATGCAACAAAAGTTGCACATGACCGTTCGTAAGTGCTCTTACCTTAATCCACCATTACTCCACTGTGTGTGCCAAATTCCCTGTCACGCTTATGGGAGGCATTAATGCAAGATGACCCAAAATTATTCTTTCAAGAGGTGGTCCTTTCCCCTCCCATTACAGTGGTTAACCAAATTTGCTATGTCATACTGTGTGTCAGTACATGAATATACCACACCTAACGTAATGAGCAGCGTGATTTGGAGCTCTTGAACCTCCCGTGTAAAAAAAGTTCAATGGGCGTTGTTTTTGTAGAAGTTCTGTTGCTCTATCACAAAAGTTTAACTTTGTAAGAATGCCTTTGTCTGTACAGCAGTGAAAGGGGTTTTGTGTAAATTATTTAGTGGTAGATTCGTGAATATTTCTTGGGAATTTGGAAACTGTCCTTTCTTCTGCAAAAACCACTATCCTTTGTCTTTCGTTCTAGGTCTCCCTCCCCTTTCCTCCCTCCCTCCGTCCTCTCTCCTCACCTCACTCACTTCCCCTCCCTACTCCCTCATGGCCTCCTTCTTCAATACTCACTTACTTATTATACTCCCTACCTGCTTCTCTCTCAAACTCTTTCTTTTTTCCTCCCCCCCCTTACTCTCAGTATGCCAACTATGCCATTGGTAAGGACGTGCAGGCCATGAAGGCAGTGGTGGGTGAAGAGGCCCTGACACCAGATGATCTACTCTACCTGGAGTTCCTCCAGAAATTTGAGAAGAACTTCATCTGCCAAGGTGCGGTACACTGGCGTCTGTTCCATCCGTATTCTGTGGAGCTTCATCAAATTAAGTGGCCATACCTGAGGCTCTGGCATGCATGCTGTAGCCAGTAGAGTCTGCCCTGTATAATATCGATAGTGAGCGTGTGTTTGTGCGTGTGAGGAAGACCAAGGATGGGCGAGGCTGCCAAATTGGTCACCCAGACTCCCAGGGACATCCTTCTTGTCTCACACTGTGGTTTCAGGTGAAGTGTTTTCATCTCACTTCCTGCTCTCTTTGCCGCTGTACTCGGACACCGCATGCATAGCACAAACACAGACGAGCCGTGATAATTATGAGACACCACTTATGTACACAAGAAGAAAGTTCAATTCTTTAACTTTTTGGAGGAAGTACAACTACCGTCTGCCACCCAATTTTCACGTATCGGAAGATGTTACGGTTTCGCAAAGCCATTGTGGTGCATACCACCATACTTTTCCCTTCATACAATATTCTTAGTCGTTGCACGTAGAACATTATTACCCACATATATAGCTTTGGATTAGGCCATTTAAACTGCAACTGCCCTAACTGCCAAATTACATGACTGTCAGTAAATTTTACTTTTCTCTACCACACGACCCAATGTATACATTCTCATCTCACAGGTGTGTATGACAACCGTACGGTGTTCGAGTCTCTTGACATTGGCTGGAACCTCCTGCGAATCTTCCCCAAAGAGATGCTGAAGAGAATCCCGCAGAAGGTCCTGGACGAGTACTACGCTCGAGACCAGAGGAAATAGACAACCGCTTTATGTCCGACCTTCTCGTTGGCACTTCCTTAGAGTCACAATTGCTGTGTGTAGGCACAAGAAATTCAGATACCAGTACGAGTCACGCACACACACACACACTGAGTGCTGTTGTAGTTAACTGCTGCACCCGCCACACGTGTGTGTATATACAATTGTGTGTGTCGTTAGGTGTTTTTGTCGTTGCTGTTTGTGTAATTGTACCGCTGTTTGTATGGCTGTAATTAGATTTCTGCTAGTTCATTTTGGTGCGGTTCTCTGTACTGACAATGCTCGGCGCGACATGAAACAAGCTACTTTCAATTGCACCAATTGCTTCTGCCATTTTGCATGTGCATGACTTTTTTCAGTGTTTTGTGTTCTTTTGCCAAGAGCATTCACTTTGCAAAAATCAAAAATGCTAATACACAAGGGCATCCTAATCAGTAGCAATGCTTCCTGCTAAGGAGTGCTGACCTTTAACCCCATTCAGGCATCTCAACCCAATGAAGGTAGGTCAGTGAATTCTGTGTGTATAAGGTGGCTGCCACTCACAGCACAATTTTCCCTCAGACTAAACTCGGTGGCAACTCTGGTGTTGGATACTCCTGGTACAACGTAGATGGCGTTGCGGCATCTAAAGGTGTGGTTGTTGCGGGCGGTAGAGCTGCAGCTGATGTTGCTGCTAGCCTGCTGTCTCACCCACTGTCAGCTCACTACTACGAGCATTAGGTCGAACAGCAAATTCAAAGAGAACATTCACCATGTGTACTGTGCCAAGCCCACAGTAGCCCCTGGAACAGTTCCATTTCGCGATTGGTCCTTTTCCAATAAGAGCCCACTCCTGGAGCTCCCCATAGACCCAGAGGAAAAGAACTACGTCCGTAGGATCCACAATGTCTCTTTCTCACGAGTAATGCCCACACCTTTCCACTCTTTACCTGTCCTTGTTGCCCTCTCAAGAGACGTGCTGCAGGATCTACTCGATTTGGATCCTTGTGACTGTGCACAGAGCAGAGCGTTTCTAGCACTGGCCTCTGGCGGTCAACCGCAGCCTCCCAACTCCCTCAACCTGGCCCACCGCTACGGAGGTCACCAGTTCGGCCACTGGGCAGGCCAGCTGGGGGACGGAAGAGCTGTCCTGGTGGGCAGCTACCTCAACAGGATGGGTGGGTACTGGGAGGCACAGTTGAAGGGCTCTGGAAAGACTCCCTACAGTCGGGACGGGGATGGCCGAGCAGTGCTGAGGTCCTCGATACGGGAGTTCCTAGCCAGCGAGGCCATGCATGCACTTGGTGTACCCACCAGTCGAGCTGCCAGTCTGGTGACATCAGACGACGCTGCCTGGAGAGATCAGTTCTATGATGGACACCCGAGACAGGAGCATACTGCTGTCGTCCTGCGACTCGCCCCTTCCTGGTTCAGAATTGGCACCCTCGAAATCCTCCATCGCAACAAGGAGTTTGAGCTGCTGCGCCAGACACTGGACCTTGTCACACAGCACTACTACCCAGACCTCGTCCAGCTACACATGAACACCCCGTCGAGTAGGTACGCAGCGTTTTTTGCCAGAGTTGTCAACGAAACAGCAGAGATGATTGCTCGGTGGCAGAGCGTGGGCTTTACTCACGGTGTCTGCAACACGGACAATTTCAGTCTCCTCTCTCTGACCATTGACTACGGACCGTTTGGATTCATGGAGACGTACGACCCAGACTTTGTACCCAACACTTCGGACGACGAGGGAATGTATCGCTTCCAGTACCAGCCTTCGGTGGGTCACCACAATCTGGTGAAGCTCTGGGAGACGCTCAAACCTCTAGTAACTGAGAGAAGGGACCGTGATACCATGCACGAGGGATTGATGTTGTATGCCGCAGCATTCAACAATGCCTTCCTGGGTCTGATGTCGGAGAAGCTGGGGCTGGAAGGAGTGGGGGACGAGGAGGAAACAGAGATGCTGGTGGCTGGGCTCCTCCAAATCATGGAAGACGTAGAGGCGGATTTCACAATGACATTCCGAGAGTTGTCTGAAACGACTGTGTCAGACTTGGTGACAGACACGCTTCCTGGACACACCTGGGTGCTGCCAAGGTTACTGGCTCACAGTGCGTGGAGAGGCTGGCTGAGACTCTATCACTCTCTCGCTCTCCGTTGTGCTACAGACAGTAGCATGGAGAGGGTAGCCAGCTACTCTGAGGGTATGCGAATGGAGCGAATGCAAGGCGTGAACCCTAGGTACGTGCTGAGAAACTGGATGGCGGAAGAAGCCATTAGGAGGGCAGAGGACGAGGGAGATTTCTCGGTGGTCCACAGACTGCAGCGTGTGCTCCAGAACCCATATTTGGTACAACATGAGGCAGAGGTGGCAGGCTACGCACACCAACCACCTCAATGGGCCCAAAAATTGAGAGTCAGTTGCTCTTCCTAAGGACCAACATGAAAACTGTAGTTGGGCATTGAGGTATTCTGAGGACCTATGTTTACACTGTGCGATTTTTGCACTGTACTTCCAGCCATTGTTTTATCTCGCTCATGTAAAAACACTGCGAAGCTAGGGCCTACACTAGGGTATGTGCAACCGTTTACTTAGTACTTCCAGGGTTGGCTGGATTGTATAGTGACCGTTTGCTGTACTTCCTGTACTTCCTGTACTTCCTGTATTCTCTGCCCAATCAGCAATACTTGAGACAATTGCACTCACATGCAGCATAATATCATGTATATAGCCTGCGGGTGCCAAAACCCGTGTGAATGGGGGTAGCTATATATAGACAAATAAATAATTGTCGACACCTGCTTAATGAAATTCTAACTGTAATTGTTATTGACTGTTATTTCGTTAACTCGGCAACGGTAGTGTTTGGTCTAGCTTGCCAGGTTGAAAAAGATATTCTAAATTCTACCACTGCAGATATTCGAATGGGTGGGCACTAGGTCATTAGGCACACAGATTAGCCCTTGTTCTCTCCTTCCAAAACCGGTTGAAGACAATACCACCAACCAATTTTATGTCGAATTTCTCAGTCAACGTTGTGACTCTTGAACATACACTGGCAGAGCATGCCAAAACAAACAAAATCCGAATCATTGGCTGGGGGAATAGTAAGGTGGTTTGAGTGGGAGGACCAGCAAAACAAAACAAAGTGCCATCAGGTGGGTGGAAAGTCATGCAAGACCAGGTGAGTATCAACTGCATGCCTGGCACTCATACAGAAGCTGGCTAGGAATTGCTGCTTGAATATCCAATGCCACCACTCTGCTACCGGGTAACGACACTGACAGTGAATCATCGTGTCATAATTAGGCCCAAGGTAGCACCTCGCACCGGATATGGCCATTATAAGTCGTTACGGTCAACATCCGCACTCCGCCGCTGAACTTCGCCCACGCAACACGCTCTAGCTGCAGTTCTTGTACGCAACGGGCCCACGCAAAACGGTCTATTTTAGCTCCCGCCCTTGCACTCCAGCGCAGTATAATCGGATTGTGTGCTGCGGGTGAAACAGAAAAAAAACCTTTGCCGCTCGCTGTGAGTTTTCACCACCCCGCATCGCCCACACGCCACCGAGTGTATAAGAACAGAGCTCCAAACGGAACTCAGCTAAGTTTTTGAAAACCTCGACTGACCGTAGTTGTCAAGTGTCTCGAACTACGACTGACGACAACGGGAATCAAGCAAGCAGTGCATTTTCTCCACTGGTCTAGTTCGCTACTACTCTTTCGAAACACTGGCTAGCACTGTACGCGACCCAAAATCTCCCGCGATGGCTGTCGAAGTGTGCACGCAGAGACCGTTCAGTTTCTCCGCTACCTGTGGAACAGGTGGAGGCGTCCCCTGCAGCTACTACTCCGCCGCTGCTGCAGGTGCAGCTCCCACGACCTTCGGATGCACTGGCGGCAGCGGACTGATGATGAATAACGGCTACGTGCACAAGTACGAGATCGGGACACCGCCTCATGGCTCGCTGAGCCCCCTGTGCGTCGTCACCAGCAGCCACATGACGGCGCAGCAGCAGCACAGCCCGCCTCCACCGATGGAGCAGCTGCCCAAGATCATCAACAGCTACTACACTCCGCCGATCAGTCTCCACTATCAGCAGGAACCTGAGCCAGCCTACACGCGCGAGATACTCTCGCCGTACGGAAAGATGGACTCTCCGCTAATGGCTCAGCACTCAACTCCCCTCAGCCACGCAGACATCCAGCCTGAGATGAACGTGCACACGCCGGGCCACAGCCCCAACATCGCTCCCAGCCTCCCCTCAGACGCCCAATGCATGAACACTTGGTATACGAGCAGCCGGTTATCTCCGCATACTCCCGTGTCCGCCCCCACTCTTCAAAGTTGCCTCCCTCAACCCCATCAATGGCCGCCGAGCATGGACTCCGGTGTAAAAGCGCAGAGCCCGCCTCTTCCCTGTACCATGGCCCACTCCCAGCCGTCCTCCGTGTGCTCCACCATGTCGCCCTCCACCCTCAACACCATGTCGCTCGCTGAAAACAGCCTGGGCCGCTCGCAGGCATCGAACAACATCAACGCGATGGTGTCCGGCAATCCGCGCCAGATATCGTCCGCGCTCTCCATCCTCGCCTCCTCCACGTTCACGGACCTGACAGCCAGCTCCCTTCTCCCGCTGACCCAGCACCCAACTCTGCAAGCGGGCGGGAACCACACAGGACTGCTCGGCCAGATAGCTCCGCTGCCCAACAAGCAGCGGAAGACGCCCCCTCGACGCAACCCGACCGTGCCCAAGAAACCCAAGACACCTTCAGAGAAACCGCACGTTTGTCCAGTGGACAACTGTGGCAAGCGGTTCTCACGGTCAGACGAGCTCACGCGACACCTCCGGATCCACACGGGCCAGAAACCTTTTCAATGTCACATCTGTCTCCGCTGTTTCTCCCGCTCGGACCACCTCACCACCCACATCAGGACCCACACCGGCGAGAAGCCGTTTGCCTGCGACACTTGCGGTCGCCGGTTCACCCGCTCCGATGAGCGTAAACGCCACAAGAAGGTGCACGAGAAGGAGGCAGCGCGGAACGTCCTGCGCGGCTCGCAGCTCCAACAAGCTGCCAACCCCGAGGTGGCCCCGCTCTCCTCGGCCAACAACTCGGAGGTGCCGATCCACCACGTCCAACAAGAACAGCAGCAACATCAGCTCTCTGCAGTAGACACAGTAGGCACGATTGAGCTCAAGATCGAGCCCACTCCACTCTCCCCCTTGCAATGAGAAAGTGCATAGCGCCCCAGTTTTAAAAGTACAACCTCTAGACTTTGTGTGTGTGTGTGTGTGTCCTCTGTGTTATTCCACGCCTTTTAGCTCTTTTCTTGGCATCTGTCCAATTTCCTGTGTACTCCGTTCTCTCCCTACTCTACCCTCTCCCTGCCTGCCTGTGCACACACTCCCATCTTTGCTTCTATCATTCGCTTCTCTGACTCTTGAGTTTTTTGTAATTCAAAGTTGCAGGGCTCTCCATGCGCCTGCCTCAATCTTGCTCCTTCTATTATTATATCGGTTTTGTATGAGATGGTTTGTGTTTCATAACTTATTGTTGTCTCACTGCACTCCTCGACATTATTTTCACTGCCCATCAGAACGGCACATCTATAATTTTTACATGCCTCTCCTTACAACAGCATACTTCCTATTATATATAGCACATCTCACTCGAGTATATACATGTTCGACAGTCCAACTGTAAAATATACCTCTTGATTAATTTTTTTAAACTTTCAATGAGTTGTGCAACATATTCGCTGCTCTAAAAAGTAAACGTATATACAATGGTACTTCGACCTATGCATGCAAATCACACAGCCCACGTGATTCCCCTCGTTCCACATTATGCCAAATATACTCACGCTTGCTCACTTCCCGCCAAAGTATATAGAGGCTGCATAGAGGGGTCCCCCTTTAGAGATGTACCGTATTATAGAGAATGGGAGTTCTGCCTGCAGAGAATGTATACTGAGAGGAGAGTTCTGCCTGTAGAGAATGTATACTGAGAGGAGAGTTCTGCCTGTAGAGAATGTATACTGAGAGGAGAGTTCTGCCTGTAGAGAATGTATACTGAGAGGAGAGTTCTGCCTGCAGAGAGAGGAGAGTTCTGCCTGTAGAGAATGTATGAGAGGAGAGTTCTGCCTGTAGAGAATGTATACTGAGAGGAGAGTTCTGCCTGTAGAGAATGTATACTGAGAGGAGAGTTTTTCCTGTAGAGAATGTATACTGAGAGAGTTCCCCAGCTTCTCAATAACACTGTCTGTAATGGTTGGTGCATGTTTCAGGTTGCTGTTCAAGGAATTCTTTTCAGCGATAGGTGGAGGATGTATGGATGAGTGGAGAGCCTGTAACAAGTGTATTGGTTGTGGGGGTGTTGGGGAATAAGCAGAGGGGACTGGTATGCAAAAGGAAATGGATAGGGTATAATTGTTAGAATGTGTGGGATGTGGGATAATTGTGCTGCATGTGTGTGTGAGTTGGCTGGGAGGGATGGCGGTGGATTCAAAATCAATGGCGGGCTGTGTTTCTCCTGGCTGGCTCGGCTGGCTACCACTCTCAGGGCACCCACCATAAACAGAGTATGTGGTTGAGCACAAGCCGCTCTCAGACAGTCCTACCTACACACATGCACACTGTGCTTGCTCGCTGCTGCTGCTAATAACCCTAGAGAGCAAACACCAAGGCTGGCGGCATATGTTAACATTCCAGGGACAATTGAAAGCAAAACCTGGAAGTTGTTAACAGATATGTGACTCAGATTGAGGAAAATTTGCAGCACCCCAATTTCAGTTAACAGTTTCTTGGTACTAACCTATAATTCTACCTGAGGTTATGCCACTATGAATTCCTTTATGCTATGCTAATGGGGATAGCCACTATGATGTAGGCATAAGGACTTATAAGGAGTTACGCTCTTATTCCTCCCACTCCCTCTAGACCTGGAGTAAGATCTATCCATGGTGGACACAGCCCAGTGAGTGGGCTTCTATATATAGTGCTGGCTTTTGGGGCCTCTCGCCTGAATGTGTGGGTGAGGTGGCTAAAGTATGTATGCATGGCCACTATACCTGCATATATACACACACACGCTATGCTCGTATTACCAAGCCCATAATAGGACGAAACGAGATGCTGTTAGCATACTCACAATATACACAGTTGGAGATCACATGTACATAGTAAAGATGTCCAGCGGGTATAACACATGTATCAGAGGTATAGTCGAAACACGACTATTATGCTAAAGACTTGTGATGAAAATCGGAAAGATTATAAGACATTGTGTCTGTGTGTGTCATGTGACGTTGCCGGCGGAGCCTCCGACTATAGATAGAGCTCTGATCTCGTCCAGGAGTTTGTCGGACGTGGTCTGCAGTTCGTGGTCCTCGGCGACGCCCGATGTGCCAGTGAGCTGCTCCACACACCAGCTAAGGGACTGGACACAGTCACGGTAGTACAGTACCTGTGGTGCACCGCAAAACAATTGATTTCTACAGCTGCAGTGTACATTTCCTGAAACATGCAATCTTTGGTGGGGCTTATAGTCTCACAGTTTTAACTTTTTAAAGGGTGGATGTTGGAACACTATACCCGAGCCTCGATGGCGGCCTGAAGACAGTGCTCAAAGTAGCTGACTCTTCCGTCCAACACTTGCGGAAGCTCTTGCATCATCCGCTGGTGAATGCGGTCGTAGTCGGCGCGTGAAGAGGACAGACTGCGATGAGTCTGAGACAAAGAAACAAAGAGAGAAAACAGCTGCGTGAATGGCACGGCTCTTGACATCTTCAGTCCAGAAGTATATTATCCACCGATCTTTCTTCCCACGGCTTATCATTGCAGGAGACACTATTCATTAGGGCTTTGGGGTTGTGTGTAAACTTGGACCATGAGTAGTCTAACCACTTACCTATGTCATATCCTCACTGCACACAGTCACACCAATTACATGGTTGAGCTTGTAGCAAACATTCTTCGGTCAATCTAGCCTGGGAGACTAAGTAGGAGCTAGGAATAGTATCGGACCCACATGTAGCTATATGTATGACCAAACACTTGGATAATATGTGCCCTCAGTTCTCCACGTTCAATACTGGGGGTGGAAGGATGGTATTTCCTCACCAGCTCTAGTTTGGCCTGCATCCCTGCAAGTGAAGAGTTCTGGGAAGGATAACTGGTCGTGGATTGTTTCCTTTCCAGCTTGTCCAACCGACCTTGTTGCTTTTCAAACTCCTGCGTGATGGAGAGAGAGAACAAGAGACCAAGGGGAATGGATCATCAATTACAACTCGTGCAAAGGAGTTAAGTGGGGTCTGAGTCAGCACACTAGAGAGAAATAACTGGAATTTACATTACGGCCTGCGTTTGATGTCGTATCTAATATGGCGAACCAGTTGGCTCGGTCGCGACACTATTGAGAGTGACGGCCACTCAGTGGTGGGGCCACCCATCACAGAGATAAGGCTACACACTACGGAGGGAGGTAGGGAGGGGGACATAGGCATGCTGTCTGAGGCCCCGAGTGACCTGGGAGCTAACTACCAGCAACATGTCGTCAGACTCGGAGAATAGGAAACTCGGGAAATGATCTTGTCTGTATAATACGCCTCATCATGGTTTGTGCGGCACATTGCTGCACGTTGCTATAATACACACGCCAGGAAGTGGGAGCCCCCCAAAGCCTGACTGTGAAGCTAGGAGGGAGGAATGTGCTAACAAGTAGTAGAGAGTGCTGTGTTGACAGAAGAGAGACTCTGTTTATAGCACTGGGCTCTGAGGTCAGAGCCAGGGCAGGAAGTGTGATAGCAAGCCTTCTTTTCAAGATTTCACCAGCAACTGGAGCTAGGCCACCAGTGCTTCACCTCACTGCTAGTGCTGCACGCCACATCAGACCTGCTCCTCTCCACTATGCATGCTGTCACCAAGCCCCTCAGGCATCGAACTCCCAGCGCTAATGGGAATATTATACTCCTCGTTCTCTGAGGAAACGGAAGGCAGTGCAATGCTGTGATACGTACACCAACTGTGCCAACCTAACTAAATCGGACACTATACGCTACAGGGGTGCCAAGTAGAATAAGCATCAGTCCTTATACTTCTGTGACACACAGTATCCTACATTACGAAAAGGTAATTGTACATGAGTATATAGCTAGAGAAGCCAGAGATTATTAGGTGGAAAATGTGCAAAAATACTTGCGCTTCAGAGCACTGCTGTTGTATTATAATCATTTTTTCACTGCATAGCCCAGGCGCAGTAGAAATGTTTTCAGAAGGGTAAATCAGAGGGGGTATATACAATTACCATGATTCAGGGGGCCTCCTGGTTCCCCTAGAAAACCCTGTCGCAGAGTATTGTAATATGGAAAGTAAAGCGAGTGCATACATACGTACATCGGTGATTGATTCAGGAGACACTCCAATTACTCCATATGTACCTGAAGCTTCAGTTCCCTTTGCCGGGCATGAAACTCCACGTGCTTGTATACATTGGAGTACCTGCACAAACACAAACACCAACACCAGACACACACACACACAACAACACACGCGGACGAGAATACATACACAAACAGAATGTCAGCGAGGAATGTACTGATTGTATGGGCATCTTTTCAAAAGGCTGGACACAAGCTATTGGCGCCCAGACTGCCCAATACGGACACTCATCTTTCCAGGAAATACGCACAACTGCATTACCAAGTGTTCCCAAGGGATTTCTTCCTTTCCGAATGAGGCATATATTATAGCGAAATGCTAACCGAGTGTGTCCAACTTGTGTAAATGTACAGACGTGCCATTTCCAAATACAATACCTCTTCATTGGCTCTGAGAAGGTGGCGTCGTGGTTTGCTTTCAGGGTTTTGGCGTGGGCCGCCATCTCTTCCATTGTTCCTCCCAACACCTCCATCTTTGAAAAAACAGGAGAGAGAGAGAGGAGAGATATAAAAAGAACCGTTGAGTTGGTAAGAAGTGAGAAGACAAAGAGGGCGGGGGTGGAAACGCAGTGTCAGTAGTGGATTCTCGACCGAAAGCTAACTGAATCGAAAGTGCATCCGAGAGACGTCTCTCTGGGCCTGTTTACAGTGTGTCCCACTCACACGCCCACATTGACCGCAAGAAAAATCAACGGCGGGCTTTGTGTGTGTGCACAGAGTCTCCGTATGTGATGCAGCAGCACACAGTGCATGCAGAGCAAACAAAACAAACAGTCTTTGAACGAGAAACTGGAAGGGTGTCGAGCGCCCATTTCGCCTCCTTCGCGAGGCGGTGAGTTGATGAACACTGCTGGCAGCCGACCGAGCCGCAGTTTGTACCCAGTAGTACACATCTACTTGTATGGAAGCGCAGCTCATTCTGCATGATTATGTGTACGCATAATCCGCCCCAGATGATGGACTAACATAACTCAGCGTGTGTGTGTGTGTGTGCGTTTGTTTTATGGCAGTTGGCACAATGGGACGTATGCAGTGCCGCATGGAGTAAATGAGAGTGTGTGCTCCGTCCAAAAGTGTGTTTGCTCACTCGATGATCGTGCAAATGATGGCTCCTCACACAGAAACTTGCCTCTCCCTTTATAACCATAGATTGGCCAACATATGCAGTAGCAGTGTACATACGTACACACAAACTTAGAGCAGCGTACACATACAGAGCATGGCACAGTAGTTCACACTACAAAGTCCTTGGTATCCACTGTAGAAAAATCATCAGGTTTCCTGCTAAACAGTGTCACACACACAGTTTCCCCCAGTGTGCAGCCCACCCACCTCTCTATATTGGACACTCATAGGAAAGTCCCTCTCAGTGGGAGGGGGGGACCTGCATTCCTGATGCAGCAGGCTGCAGAGACTTGCCACAGTGGGACAGGAAGGAGGCGGCACAGGGCACGAATGGTAGCTGAAACCTTTCAGCCAACCACAAGGTGAGCCACACACACACACCTGCAGTCACTAACCGTCCCAAATATGTACGTAGGTGAATATAATACCAGACGGTGGATAGGACCAGGCTGCGGATACTTACAGAAAGATTGTGTACCATGCACCCTCTAGCACCATCATGACAACTTCTTGAGATCATAACAGAGCGTAAACACGACCAATGGACGTTTCAAAAATATTGGCACGTATTGTAGCCTTAAGAAGAATGTGGTTTTTCTTTCAGCAAATATTCCCCCAGTCCACCTAGAAGCTGCTGTTTGTGTATCAACACAAAGCACTCAAGCTTAGCATTACTTTGCTAAGGGACGCCATAAAGTAGTTGTAGGTAGCAAAGGAGGTACAGATAGAAGGTGGCTATAACTGTGAGTATGTGTGGTGATTTTGGCTCCAGTGCACTTATGGAAGAGGAAATGCTCGTCATTCCACACACAATCTCACTTAATTGCATCCTGTGATTATTAGCAAAAGCAGGGCAAAATAGTAACTACTGCAGCAATGAACTACACCCACTTGTCTTATGCCTACTTAGCACACTTGCTACATTACAGTAATAATATTATGAGAGGGTTGTGGATTCCTACTGTACGTAATATCTATTGTGTACCATTCAAGGGAGTTTGTAGGTAAACAGTGCCACATACAGTCACCTCCAAATCACCTCCAATTCCAAGTGTTTAACCTTGGAGGGGTGGAAGTGGGGGAATAACATTGTCCCACACACAAAGGAGGAGGATGATTCAATTGGAGCCCATTAGGAGGGACTGTTTTAGGAGTTGAGGTTGAACGGAGCAGGAGAATGGAGCTCTCCAAATGTGGAGGGGAGATGATTAGTGGTGGTGATTGGTGTTTGGTGTTTGGAGACAGAGTAACAAAACTGCTGGGAACACCTACACCTGGGCATCCTCACATTCTTGGGGGCACAACAGAATCGCCTTTTTCTACTGGCCCTGCCTTTAATCTTTACCTGACACTCTCCCATTATACCTCCACTGCCTGCTAACGTACTTTGCAAGGTCTCAGTGTGTTACCTACCACTTCGCGCCCATTCCCCCACGGGTGTGTAAGTATGATCCTCAGTTACAACACAGTTACCACGAGAAAGAACAATTTAGGCATATTTACGTTCATACACTAGGAAAACGTGGCTCTACTTGTGCCGTGCAGTACCGAGGTTTATACCGCTCACGTTGCTATTACAGGGGCCGGCCTACCTAAGCACTCTTGAGGCGTTCGTAAGCACACAGAATAACCCTTCACCGGAGCACACGCCCACAGAAAAACAAACAGTCTGAGCACGCCTCCACCACACTTCCGGTAAAAAAATACACAACAATAGAACCGCCTTTGAATGCGTGCGCACACACACAGCACACATGCATGCACAGAGTCCACAGTAAATGTGTGCTCTAGCCTCAATGCATGGCACGGCATGGCACCAGGCTTACAACTGAGCAACACATGGCTTCCATCAGGGCTTTCTCTCTTTGGAAGTGGTCCACAGACTCTGTTTCTAACACCACTTTAAGATCATGTGATTTCTACAAAGTATTTCCATCGAGAGTCAGACTTGGTCAGAGTCAATTTGGGAGAATCAGACTCAGAACAAGGCTAGCAGCACCTCACCACACACACACATGAACAAACACACACACACACATAATAATGGGTGTTCTTTATGCAGGTCCCTGCAATTGCTCCACTATGTTAGCTCACAGCATCACAGCTCAAGGTTCAGTTTGAGGTGAGGTAGTTCACCAACTTGGGTCACAGATAGGTGGGTGGGCTAAATTCAGAGACAATGCCTGGAAAGTATCCCACCAACTGCTCATGCATACCACACTATAGACCTGCCATGAATGACGTAGCAGACCTAACTGCCTATGTATACTAAACCCATGGTCAGCCTGTAGAGTGACATCATTTGACATCACCAGCCAGCCACCATGGAATCCAATACCCCAATAGACTCCCGGTGTACATAGCTACACAGCCTGTAGTGACATCATACGACATCACGGCTCCCTATACTTCCAGACCTAAGAAATGACTCTCATCACTTCCCCTGCCACTCTTACGTCACTAGTGGCCACTCAACGTGGAAGCAGCTTGGTTGTCACAGGATACTAATTGGGGAAGAAAGGGGATACTCAAGCTGGAATTTGAGACATCTGCCTCTCCCAGCTGAACCCTCTTTAGGTAGACCAGGAACAGCTTGTCAGCTGGTTAATTCCAGGGGCACTCTCACCAAACACCAGTATAGAGAGACAATAGTAGGGTGAAAACATGCAGCAGGTTTGTGACCCTTTAAATGTCGTAAAATAACTCACACCTGTGACAAGGCCGGTACACAAATAGCGCAGATTGCATTAAAACGGCACGCACCAAAAGCAGCTACGTAGAGGTGCATGTATGTTGTATGTTACAACCATGGCAGGTCAGAAAGGTAAAGTGCAGTGACAGACGTTTCAATTGCGCAAGTCGAAAATTATACTTAATGAAAATGAACCATGTAGTCAGCTACTGTGAAAATAATTTTCCCACTAATCTTGTTCGTGAAATGTA